ATGTACTTGTTCTAAAATAAGAAAGATATTATCCCAATTTTCAATTTAAATCCAACAATAACAATTATAACAATTTTTGTCAATAAATTTATGTTTCAGTAACTGCATTTTTTATTTGGCGAAAGATAAAAAAATCTATAAAAGGCCAATTTCAAAGAAAAGAGGATATCAAATTAACAATTTATTTAAATTTTCATCATTATCATCACCATCCTCTATTATAGAATCAATATCTAAATTGTCATTAAACAAATTATCATTCACAATATTATCTTTGTCCTGTTCAAAGATATCTTTGACCTCTTCATTCTCTTACCAAAAGATGTCATCTTCAGAGCCATCCATGGCTGTCATGAGACAAGACTTCTTGAAACCTCTCTTTATAACATCCTCACTGATGGAATCTCAAGATTCCTGAATCCATTTTACAATAAATTCCAACTTTGATTTTTTCCTGTTGCCACCAGCAGTAAAACTGGGAACACCAGAAAACATCCAGCCATTTCATTTTTTACACATCTCTTGTTTAAATGGACAGTTGCAGACAATATCCACTACTTGAAGTTGGCCAGTCATCCCCCGCTGGTATAATAACAAGATCAGTCCTCTTCTTCTGAAGAATATTTTTCATGCAAAGCATCCTATGGCAACAAAAAGCATCAAAAACCAACATACATCTACTTCTTGTAAATTCTGTTCTGTATTTACACCAAGCATTCAGCAGCCAGTTCTTTGTGAGATTTTCATCCATTCACCCTTTTTCATGACATTTTACTATCATACTGGCTGGGCACTCAACGGTTTTTGGCAGAGTTTTCCATTTAAAAAATTACTTAAGGGGGCATCTTCTTACAATCACCATATGCACCAAGCATAACTGTGAACCTATTTTTCACATTTCCAGTTATTTTTATTGGAACAGACTTCACCCCTTTGAATTCCAGAGTTTGAAAACAAGGCACATCAAAAGTCAAGAGTGTTTGGTCAGCATTTCCAATACAGCCTAAAGAATAGTTGTGCTTTTTCCTTAGCTGCATAACAAAACACTGAAAATTCAAAAGCTTATCTTCATAATCATTAGGCAAACGCTGGGCTATGGATGTTCTTCTAATAAACATATCAAACCTCTTCATAAAAAGAAAACACCAGTTTGCTGAAGCTTTAAATGCGTTTCCAGGATATGTGGTTTTCATAAGTTCTTTTGTCTTCATCCCTATTTCCACAGTACTTACAGAACATCCACTTGATCATCTTTCATTCACAAATTCAACTTTGTCCCATATCTGGATATTGAGCTTTTCTTTCTCTACCTATAGCTTTGGTACTTGATTTACACTTTTTTTTTTTTTTAGTTCATTTTTATTTTTTTGCCATTGCCTCATTCAACATATATTCTCTAGCTGCAGCTCTGTTTCCTATTCTTTCTGCTAATTCTATTACTTTTTGTTTAAAATTTGCACTATAGCTCACACATTTTGACATTTTGGCAGTAAAATGTTATATTTATCGGGAAAACTGTATGTAATTTTCAACATTATTTTAGCCATTTAGTTTCGATTTTATTCTCAATGTCAAGATCAACAAAATGTTTTCATAATTATTTTTTGTTTTCTTTGACAAAATTTATAAATACATTTATACATAGGAATAGATATATTTCTTAATTTTCTGATCATTTGTTGGGGGGGTGTATTATTTTTGAGAAATTAAGGTAATATTAGTATGAAGTTTGAAAAGAAAAATGCAGGAAAGCTTTGTTATAATCTTTATACATTTCTGAGTAATGACCTGAATGAAACAATCTTAAAATATGTATCAAGCATATTTTGCCCCAATATTTATAACATCGCTACATTTTTTTTTTTTAATATCACTACTTGAAATTGCTACTACAGACCAAAAAATGTTTGAATTCTACTGGGGAAATTACCTTCAACATTCCTTATTTATCAAGTGCCTGAAATGACAAACCTGGCATATTTCTGTACAGATTTTATATTGCAATTTAAAAAAAAACCCAAAAAACTGTATTTTGAATGCTTTAGTGTTGTGGCTCTGTACCAGATTAAGTTGAATAAAAGGCATTAAAGTTAAATTTATAAATCCAGAATTAAGTTCCACTTCATATAGACAATGTTCAACACATGCAAAGTAAATAAAACATTTTGAAAGTAAAAATTTGATAAAAAGCTGACGCTTACACCTACAAAGCAACCAAATACAATAAAGCAAAGAAATTACAAATAAATTGGAGAATAATTAAGGACATAATAATAATGAACAAATGCTTGGTTTTATCATTTCTGGAAGTTTATTTACACAACTGCACTATTTTCAATGTTTAATTCATATTTATCTTTTGAAAGAAAAGAATGGATATGAGGTCTGCTCAAAAAGTATCTGGACTGGTGCTATAAAATGAAAATTACAACATATATCAAGTCGGTATTTAATCTCCTTTAAAGTAGTTCCTTTCTGAAGCCACACACTTTATCTAGCAACATTTTCATTGATGGAAGCATTCCTGGAACTCCTTTCTTGTGATAGCTGCCTCATTGCATTCTCTTGGTTTTCCTTGACGTCTGGAAATATTTTGTCCTTTTGAGTGGGATTTGATTTTTGAAGAGGAAAAAAGTTGCAAGTGTGTGTGTGTGGGGGGGGAGATCTGGGGAAGAAGGTGGTTGTCAGACCTGGTGAATGTTATTCTTGATGAAAAACTTCTGTACAAGCCACAGGCACTGATGAAACCTCAGTGGTGTGGTGAGATGACTACACTCTATGCACTTTCCTTTTAAGTACTGGTATAAACAACCGAAGTGAATGAGAATGTTATAATTTAGCATGTATGTCTGACAGAGTTCAAGGTCAACCTGCACCAAGTGGCTTCACTATGTACTTTAGCTCTGTTACCATAGCAACAATCCCAATACTTTTTGACCAGACCTCATACATATTTCAAACATTTTAACCAAATAAATAATGACAGCCAGGAAAATAGAATGAGAATTAAAACCTGTGAAATTGGATAGAGACATTGAATGGGCAGGATCAACTCTTTCTATCATTTACAAAAACAGATTCAGTTATAACTATCCTAAATAAGGAAATACTGAAATATTGATCTAACCTGTGGAAAGACAATTTGAACAGAGATTGAACTTTATATTAAGTGAAAACCATATTCTAAACATTATTTTTACATTGTCAATAAAGTGTTTGAAATGTATACCATTTGTATAAGTGTATGAGAAATACATATATTAGGTAAAAATTCATGATCATGAATCTTGTGACCCATAGGGTTGTAGGAGGCATCACATACACAAGCCATAGTAGCAATGGTGTTTTCTGTGCAAGACATCCTGGTGGAACCCAACCCTCTTCAGGATGGTTTGAATTCAGAGTTTTTCCTTCTCCTAGACTAGTCACCAACCAAGTCTATAGGACTCACCCTGTCTTGCTATTTTACTCATAGCTGAAGGGAGAAGAGATGGATTCATATCTTTCCCAAGGGTATTAACATGTAAGTGAATGTAATGAGCTAGACTGGAATTCAAACTCGGTGCTCTGATTCCTCAATCAGAGCAGGCTATCATTACTCCACCAGGTATAATGCATCTACATGTAATACATGAACTGATTACAAGTTGAAAAATATCTAAGTATAAGGTTTTTATTTATTTGTAAGTAAGCTGTAATATTGGTAGAAATTGTTAAGAAAATGTTATGCATCATGAAATCAAACACTGATCCTAGATTCCTCAGTAGTATTAATAAATGCAACAAAATTTATGAAATTTGCTTGCAAATCAGTGGCTTAAAAAAAGATCACTCATTTTAGGTGTTTCAGCCATATTCTTCAGGTATCTTCGTGCTGGTGTTACAAATGTCTGTTAATATAGTTTGAAATACACACAATTGGTACTGTTGATTGTAATGACTCAGAAATCATAAATTAATTATATAAGTGTTTTCAGTCCCAAATACAACAATCTATTCTTATACTTTTACCAATTTCAGCAAATGCAATCACACTGAATTTCACCTGAAATTATTTGGTATAGAAATAAAGATTTTGGCAAATATACTGCTTTTAAAGAGGCTAAGGTAAACAGATCAAGAAAAAATATTAAGTGGAATTTTATCAAGTAGGAATTTTCAAATATTAATAATTTGTTGAGGATATATTTGATTTATATTTTTATTGACTGTAACTCAAGAGCTAAGTAAAATATTTAAGATTACTCAGTTTCAATTTTGAAAGTCAAAAGTTCAAATATTAATTGAAAACTTTTTAAAAATAAGAATTTAGGCTTTTCTATGTCATAAAAAGCCAAAAATACTAAATAATTAAAAAGATATGGAGTAATGGTTTAATTCATTTCAGCTAACAAATGCAAATATATAAAAATATCTCCAAACCCAATTAGAAATCAAAACTAATGTTTAAACAAAATTAAAATGTATTTAAAAACTTAACATAGGATAATCAAAAACAATATGATCAATATTTATAATCTTCCATATCATATTTGTCTCATAAAAATATCATTTTTGTCAGCATTAATCAGTTTCTCATTATGGGAAGCAAGTGTTATTGAGTGGAATCAAACTTTTGAAATCTCTGGAATGGCATCCAAAGCCATATCCCTTAATGGAAGCATTTTTGAAAGTATAATCACCAGAATATTTATGCAAGTAATGTTTAGAGAATAATTACTGCATCCACATTTGGAAATTTTTGTGGTTTTGAATTCTGATTAATGCTATAAAAAACGTTTTAAAAAGAAATTTTTCGCAGGCTTCATACTGTGAAAGATTTCAAATTATATGTTAAAAACATTTTTATTTTTGAACTTTGTGTTCATGATAATCAAAATCCTTTCCCTTGATCTCACATTATCTTTACCTGAGGATAATTTGAATCCTTTCATGTCTGCCTTGAGCACTTTTTGCTATTATGTAATTGTAGTAAATAAGTATTTACAAACTAAACTTACCTTCCACCAAAGTCAATGTACAAAACTCTCTGAAGTAATTCATATGTAAGCAGTGTAACACCAAATTGTGGAGATGACCGGAAAACACGAGCTTTAAAAAAAAAAAAAACAGTTAATATTATTCAGACAATTAGAATTTTTCTCTTTAGAAGACCAGATAAATAAAAAAAAACATTTTTAGGATTTTTTCACATAAGTAGAATTAACATGAGTGTTTGGAGGAGGGAAGGCTATTTAAACCTGTACCTGAACTCTTATTGATTAATTTGTTTTCTACAGCTTATCAACCCACAGTAGGTTATTTAAAGCCAGAAAATATTTTTAGATTGTAAGAATTTTTTTTTTATTTTTGGTGGGGAGGAGTTAATGATTTAGTGATACAAGTCTTACTAATTAACCCATAGCTGGGGGGGGGAAAGAGGTAGATTCATACCTTTCCCAAGAGTATTTGCATGTAAGCGAATATAACAAACTGAAATTGGAACTCAGCTCCCCAATTATAACAATTCTGAGCAATTATACATTACAAGACCTGCACAGCCAAGCTTACAACACCTAGTATTCAGAAGCAGACACTCATGAAGGTACTGACCAGTCTTGACATTGTTTAACTTCAGTGATCGTATGAGAACTAGAGTTTCAATATGATGCGGTCATACGCATTGTACTCTTAGATGCTTAATATAAGGGGGGGGTGTCTTAATAACCCTAGGAAGTTTTAATAAATAAAGAGTGGTTAGACTTCTTTCAATATGTAATAAACAGGTTGGAAGCCTTCATAAAAGTGGGGGGGGGGGTGTCAGAAAATCATTTAATGGTTAAAACATGTGAAATTTTGAAACAATGTGGTCTTAAGTTCAGGGTCAGGTGGCACAGACCCACACCCACCAGCTCAGAAAAAGAAAAAATGTTCTCCACTGTCTATGGGGTATCTAAATGTAATTAGAATTAATGTCTCACTGAATGACAAGAAAAAAAAGGACAGGCCATTGATAATTTTCAAAATATGTATATGTGTATATAAGATTCAACAAAAGCTAAGTCTAAGACTTATGTACAAAAAATTTACCAGGGGCTCCTTTCCAGAATGCACTCCCTCCTTCTTCTCTCCAAATTTTTCTTGCACAGTCAACAACACCATTGTATGTTGTTTGACCAGTTCTAGCAGCCACCTGTAATCGAGTTTTAATCACATCAGCAGGTGTTGGAATTGATGCAGCTGGCATGCCTGAAAAACAAAGACAAGAGAAAGATCATTGACAAAATGTTACAATTCTTTTGTTATTATGTATTATACTATAGTCATAATTAACATCAGTACTCTTTGGTGCCAAGCAAAAACAGAGGTTGGAATAAATCAGACGGGGTTGGGGGGAAAGGAAAGGAAAAAAAAAAAAAAAAAAACCCAGAAAATGTAATGAATAGTGATGGTGGGAGGAGGTTGGAAAAAAGTGTTAATGCATTTTTCCTTCACTTTCTTATTTTCAAAGTTTTCCCAATTTTTCCTTCTCATGTAAGCTAAGTTTTCCAATTGTTGCACATGCATATTGTTGTTTCTCAGTTTGAATGTTGCAGAGTTTAGAGTTTAACTTAATTAAAAAGTGAAATCGCTTTCCTACCACATTACAATTCAAAACAAAATTTCCCAGCAATCTGGGTCGGATTGTGGGTGCGTGTCATCATAAAATTCAGGTGGGGGTTAGAAAGTGGAAAATTATAAAATTAACAGGGATTGATTTTTTTTTTTTATGGCTTATCAATTCTTTGTCTAAGTCATAAAAAAAATAAAAAATAATAAAACATTTTGGACTGTAAGAATAATTTTTTTCTTCAGCAAGTGGATATTGCATTAACAAATTTGAGTACAACAATTTTTTTTTAGATACAAGCTCTACTATTTAGCCAATAAATGGCAGGATTTATATTTTCCCTAAGGGTATTTGCATGTAAGTGAATGTAATGAGCTAGACTGGAATTTGAATTTGACTCCGATTCCTCATTCTATGCTATCAATTACACCACCCACACATCTTATAAAAACAAAATTTAAAAAGAGAGAGGTCATTTGGGATTGGAGAGCATTAAGAGGGTAAATAAATTTATTCATCAAAATTTAATTTACTAATAGAAACAATTTCATTAAAAATAAAATAAGAAATGTGACTACCAAGAAAAGTGAAAAATTTTCTTCTGGTGTAGAATTTTTAATTACTTTGACTAATGTCAATTATAGGACTTTATTAGAAACAATAATGTGTAATACAACATTACAGCAATTTGTATTAACTATTATGAAAAATAACAGTGAAATTGTAGATATTTGGACAACTAGTCACAGACAGCCCAGAGCACAAAAACATTTATTAGGTTGTTCAGAAAATAATTCAGGTTTTTAACCTTTATTTTAAAAATGACAGATCTTATTTCAGAAAAGTTTTTATTATTCATTCAATTTCTGTAGTGTTTGTTGTGCAACATGTAGCTGAGCATTGTTGTGCAAGAGGTTGACTAGTGTGGGACACATACACTTCAATTTCTGATGCATTTGATTTCTTGGCAATACTTCTCAGCTGTGATTGTTTCACCAGAATTCAGAAAGCTGTGATCTTCTTTTGGTGGAACTTCAGCTTTGGGAAGTGTTTAGGAGTTTCCTTTCCTGATTCAACCATTGCCCTGAACATTGTTGGTCGGCATATAGGATCATGTCACAATGCAATTAAGAAATGGATAATTTTTGTTGTACAAAAGAGCTGAATAGACATCATAATGACAATTCTTTTGATTTTCATTCAATTCCCATGGTATTCATTTGCCCAACTTTACTTTCCAATTTTTATTAAATGCTCAAATATTGATCCAATACTTGTATCTCTCTTGCAAGTTCTCAGAACATTGGCGTGAAGATTTGCCTCCACTAATATTTTCAATTTCTTATCTTCAATGGAAAACTTACATTCACAACCCTTATTATTTGAAAGGCTGGCTACACCACAACAAAATTTCTGAAACCAATATTAACAGATCCTTCTCCACAAATTTTAGTAATGTTTCAGGCAGTCTGAGCTGCATTACAGATTATATTCTTAAAAGTAAATATAATGAAATTCTTTTTTGGCAGGTTAAGAGGTATTGTTAAGTGTCATGAATGATATCAGAAAGAGTAATATAAGTGCAAAATGAAGTATAATTATGTTTTATAGGTTATGCAAAAGTGTTTGATAAAGTACATCACAACAACTGTTAGGTAAGCTCGATTTATTTAGGAAGTATATTAGAATAATCCAGAACTTAGACTGGGAGTAAACCATCTGAATGCAGATAGAATATGAATTCAATAAATAAAAAAAACAGAAAGGGCCATAAGACAAAGACATGTCTTCTCATTGGACTTAATTCAACCTTTACTGCAAAACAATCCTGAGAGAATTAAAATTCCTACCAGGATTCATACTGGCAGCCACAATCTTAACATTAGATATGCAGATGACAGCTTTGACAGCAGATACAGAAAGAAAACAAAAGTAAAGCAAAATATTAAGAAACAGGAAAATTTCAATAGAAACAGAGTACCGAACTGTTATGTAACATTGGTGCTCCTATATGGCAGTGAATGCTGCACTATCTCATCACAGATGGAGATAAAACTGGAGTCAACAGAAATGTGGTTCTACAGAAAGATGTTGAGAATATCTTGAACTGAACATGTAAGCAACAATAAAGTTTTAGAGAAAACGGAAACAAAAAGGACACTCATACATAGCATCAAAAAGAGACAGTTGAAATTTCTATGATACATAACAAGGAAAGAGGGTTTGGAAAATTTGACACTGACAGGACATATTGAAGGCAAGATGTACAGAGGAAAGCAGTGTATAACCTGCACAGTTAGATTATGTAAATGATTGGCAGAATAAGGAAATATAGCAAAAAGATACAGTAAGGGATACAACGGACAAGAAGTTGTGGAGAGCCATGATCACCTAGATCCTGAAGAGATATGGCACATTGAAGTTCAGAGGTCTGAAAAAATGTATGCAGTAATTGAAAAAGATGGATAATTTAGACAGAAAATATATGAAATACTCTTTAAAACAATATAATTTTTGCCAGTTTCCCACATAAAAAAGGTTAATATATACAACTACAAAACCTGAACAACTTAATACACCATGTATAATTTGGCATAACATTTTTTTACCAGAAGGGAGATAATTCGAAAATAATGCTATTATTAAAGTTATGCCCCCTGCATTGGTGATGCAAGTTAGACATTGGCAGTGTTCTAAAAATATGTTTACACGATACAGCGATAAAAGACTCGCATGTGAAAACTAATAACAGTAAGGACCTAAAATATCAATTTCATATAATGCTGTCCTTTTTGATCAGTCAGTTATGTGCCGTGCGTGATACACGCTTAGGCGATCATGTATCTTTCGATACATGACTGATGAGGCAGATTTTTCCTGCAGTAGGCTGCCATTTCTTCCTGCCATAGACCAGTTGCCATCCAAGGATATAGAACCTGGTCTATCCTGCTATTTACCCATAGCTGGAGGGAGAAGAGGAGAATTCATACCTTTCCCAAAGATATCAGAACATAAGTGAATGTAATGGATTTGACTGGAATTTAAATTCAGCTCTCCAATTCCCCAATCCAAGCCACTATCATTATTCCACTGTGCCTCCATAGCATTGGTAAGTTACTACTAGTAATAATTACTTATTATAAGAACTACATTTGCTTCTTATTTTTACTATCCAATTCAGTAATGTAACAAATGTGCAATTTATTTTTTTTTGTTAAAATTTCAACTGAGTTTGTGCCTTATTATTATTTGATGTTATGGAGATGGGATTTTGCTTTGATAGAAAAGGCCTCTTTAAAAAAATGCATAAATAGCAAATTATATCCTAAAAGAATCAGTAATATCTATAATTGTATTCTCTTTGTATATTCTTGTGTATGTAATTATGTTCTACTACCAGTAAGTAAACATAAGTTCTGCAATTTGAACAATGAATAGTTGTTCTAACAAAAATCATAACACAGATGAAAAATAATTTTTGACTAAATGAAAGGTGTAGTTATTTTGAACAGTGATTGATTGTAAGATTTGGAGTAGATTGATAATTTAAAACAGAATAAAAAACAAAAAAAAACAAAACACTCACCAGCTAAGGTTGCAGCACACAGTAAAGAAAGTGGTGAGTTATAACCATTTTGATCTGCAAATTTCTTTTTCAAGTGTGCATAAATAGGAAAATATATAGCAGAAAAGGGGATGTCTCGGAGAAAACAGGCCTTGGCCCCCTAAAGATAAAAAAATAATGCACAGTAACCTATGCAATCCTATCATTAAATACATGAAATGAAGGAATTAAATTTTTATGTATTAAATTTCTTATATACATTTATATGTTAACATTTAAAAAGAGGTTTTACAGTATAAATAAATAAATAAAAAAAATAAAATAAAATTAAAAAAAAATAAAAAAATCAAAAGTTTTCCAATACATGGCTACTTCAAAAACATTTAACTAAAAGGGTCATATACAAAAGTAATATAAATCAAACAGTTTAGAAATTGACAATATGCTTTGAGTAATGACACTCAATTAACATTTGATTGCAATTTCTAAGTTTTCATAAGCAAACCTTAAATACACTGTCACATACTTCACTAATTCAGAACTTTATAACCAATCTAAATATTCTGAATATAATTTTCAGATAAAACTCTTTCAGTGTTATAAATTTCAAATAAACATCAATTGGTGATTTAATAATGTACAGAAAGTGTTTCTATATCTAAGGAATCAAATTTGAAAATTGAAGTGGATTAAAAAAGAGAAAAATCATTTATAAACACACACACAAATATTCTTACCTTGTATAATCCAAAAAATCCTAACTCTTTGATCACAGATATAGCACTGATACGCCCTTTACCAACAATTTCACCAGCAACTTGTAACCGAATTTTAACAATTTCTAATGGATTAGTAAAAACAACCTGAGATGCACCAGCCTAGAGAAAATAAATAAAAAAATTATACATAATACAAAAATTAAATAACCTTTTAAAATGCACTCTTAAATGCCTATGAAAAAGGTGGGAGGGATATTTATTTTAAGGAAATTTTCTTATCCCCTCATTTATTAATTTTGCACTTTTTATCTTTTAAATGATTTTCCAACACCCCCCCACTCCATTTATTGCATATTGAGAAAAGCTCATGCCCTTCTATTTATTAAACCCCAACAACCATTACAATAAAATAAAAATAAGTGATATATATTACTTTAAACAGACAACAACACAAAGAAATCAAGTAAATCATTATAAAGGATAAAAATTAGCCAAAATAATAACAGTAATATAACAGTCATTCTTAGCTTGAAGGGTGAAATGCTAGATAGATTAAACAAATATCAAACAAAATTTTGTTTATATATAAATAATTTCTCTCACAATGAAAGTCTTCAAATGCTGAAACTAAAGTTAAGAAAATTATGAAACAAAGTTTCCTTAAAAAAAAAAAAAAAAAAAAAAAAAAGAAAGAAAGACATTTTAGCAACAATCATGTCATTCAATGTTCAAAAACATTAACAATTCCAATATTTACATCATATTCTGCATTTGTTGCTAAAACAATTTTTTTGTTATATGAAGTTGTTAACGAATTTAAAATTTTACTGGTTTACCAGAGATTATTTTAGGTTTAAAACTGTCTGAGGGTTCAATTTACTCAGTGCAAGAAACAAATATTTAACTTATCTGAATAAGTCTTTTGTATTTCCTCAATTTTAATCACTATTTCACAATTTTGTGCATAGGAGACAATGTAAACACAGTATATATTCCTTCTATTGATATATTCAGCCCAGTCTTCAGAATCATTAACTTTTATAATTTTTCCTTTGAGAGTATGCCTGTTTATTAAACCATATGAACAGATGCTAACATATTTAAGAGGCAAAGCTAAAAAAAAAAAGAAAAAAAAAAAAGTATATATGTATACAGTGGGATGCAAAAGTAGGTATACAGTAATGAAAAAGGTGTGCACAAAACAGCTTGATTATACAAATACATCAATATAATACTGGTATAATACTTATTATATACCTACTTTTGCAGCCCCCAGTATATAAGTGGACACTGAGATCAACACCAAGCGGCAACAATCCGTTTCACACTTCAATGCAATCTTATATTTTTTTTTTTTTCTAAATTATAAAAAGCATGATTTATCATGTGAAAATGATTTTCTTTTTGGACACATTGTTCTATAAAGAATTAAGCAACATAAAACAAACACTTATCAACAATAATTTCCCAAACCATGTTGTTGAAGAAATAAGATTGGCTTTAAAGAAATTTAGAAAAACTAATATAAGCAACCAACTTGACATAAACAAAAATAAGACTCCATTAAATAGTTTCATTGTAATCAGATGCATCTTAATTATGAACAAGATGAAAAGGTTTTTAAAATTATAATCCATTAATATATAAAAGTTATTGATCCTAACAAATATGTTAGATTTATCATAAGATATATATAACAAAGATATAAAAATAAATAAAAAATATAAACAAAAACTTACACAACCACCAGCAGCCATCTCAGCCCAAAGAGGTAACGTGCCATCTTTTCTCATTAACCTATCTCGCACTAAATCATTCACCTGTGAACAAAAAGTTGACAGTAATAAAACTACTTTTTACATGGCATACTGCAATATTCAATTAATAGAAATAATTTATATCTATGAAATTTTAAATTCTCTAATTTTTATCTCTCTTAAACCAAATCAATTATTTTAATAAATATAATTTTTTATATTTCATATTTCTCAAGTATAAGGGAATGCTGAAAAATGATATCTTTATTATGATATTTTTTTATATTTCTCAAGTATAAGAGAATGCTGAAAAATTAACCTGCCCCACTCTACAAAATCTGACCAAATGATGACATTAAATTTTTGTTTTTTTTGGAATCCCCTCTTAGTCAGGTCAAGAACATTTCAGCAGCTCATATTAGACCTAAAAAAATTTTGAATAATAAAAAAAGATTTGTCAATGCCTATTTTAACCATTACTTTGCATCTAAAAGAAGCTATAACTAAATTTGAAAAGTTTACATTCCCATTTTATTATACACTGGTTTATAGCAAGTAATTCAAATCCAGGGTCTCCTCACACCTGTTGGAGGAACCCATCCCTGAATAATCATGTCTACAGGGATCATGCTTAGCCAATTGCAGGTTGGTGAGGATCAAGCAATAGTTTTAATTAAAAGTGGAGTTTTCTTTCATGAAAAATTATTAAAGCTAAAAAATTACAAAAAACCTATCATGAAAGTATTTTCTTTATCAACCAGAACCCCCTGAACATTTTGTTTAAAATCAAATTTAATTGAAAATACTAACTGAAAACATTAATTGAAAATACTATATAAATCAAAGATATTGTAAAACTAAAAAAAAACCCAAAAAACCTTAAAACATTTTATTACAATATTAAGCAAACTATTAACACAAAGTTTGATTTTTTTTTTAATGAGTTTAAGAGATCCTTTTCTAATAGTAAATGTTTTAAAAAGTCAGAATTTATGTATGAATCTGTTTTTCTGTCCATTAGCCCTGGTCTCTCAAATGACATGTCAGTTTTCTAAGTCTATCAAATAATTACAGGATCTCATTTATAAATATGAATATTATTAAATATTAATAATTGCACTGTTAAGAGATAAAGTTCCCAAAATTTTACAAAAATTCACATTATCACCTTTTAAAAATAAGATACAATGAAAGTAAAAAAACTGAAATACCAAAAGATTGATAAAGAGTTAGTGTAGCTATGGCAGTCATAGATTGACAGGATTTAATGCTGTTTGATCATAGATTGCTGGAGTCAGAAAGTACTCCATATCCGATTTGGAAACTGGTCTAAAGTTCTTAACCAACAAAGCAACAATGAAGTGAATTCCAGAAAGATATCAGAAGTTTTCAAATGTATGAAGGTGAAGGGGGAGCTATTATTAGGTAGCTTGCTGATTTTTTGGCACACCAGTTAAATCAGTGTCATAAAAAAACAAAGTGTAAAAGTTTATTTTTTATGTATGAACTAAGTTATTTCCAAAACTTTAATTGAATCTGTAAGCATAACCAAATCATTTGAATTTTTCTTAAATTTCTTTAAAATAGAAAAAAGGTGAATAAATGACGCAAATAAAAATAACCATGAGAAATAATTCTGAAAGTTTTAGAATATTATTGCACAATATGAAATTTGCAGCAAAAGGAATACATTTTTACCGTCAATTTGATAGCTTTTTCTGGAGCAACACCAACAAGTTGAGGAGCAAGACCTCGATACAATCCAGTAAAACCTTCATGTCGAATAACTTTTTTGAAGCAATCAAAGCTATTTTTGTACATCAATTCTCCAACATAGGATCCTGTTCTTTGGTTTTGAAGACGTGTTTTAACAAGATCAATAGGATATACTGCAGTTGCACCAGTAGCTAAAAGACAAAACAATTGTAACAATGATGAGCTTGACACATACACAAATACAAGATCTAACAACATTTCGTGAGATAAAAATCAGTAAGAGTTGAGGAGAAAATTTAATGAAAAAACTTCTTAATAATATCTCTGGAGACAATGTGTGTGTGTGTGTATATATATATATATATATATATATATATATATGTGTGTGTGTGTGTGTGTGTTTAAAAAGAGCAGTATATATATATATATATTATAAAGAATTAATGGCAAAATTTCTTCACTAACAAACTTAATAAAGCATTAACCTACTAACCATTTGTTGAATGATGTGATCCTTATGTTTAAAATTGTAAGATGGACTTGATGTTCCAGTGGTAGTACTTCCAAAAATTTTCATTTTCATCATCAGGCTGTAAAATTTTTTTCATTAAAAATAGTCTAATTTGAATGGATTTTTGCATACACTGACCTAGATGTATTTATTTTTTATAAATATTTTTACTGTATTTATACACTAAAAATATCAAAATGATTATGAGTTTACATAAGCATAGTTAAACTATATCATTAAATCTCTCGCAGTTTCCATCTTGTGCACAAAATGAAAATTCCTAAATATACAAGAATTTTTTGTTTTTTTGTGACACTGTAAGATAGACTGAAGGACATGCCGAAAACAAAAAGAAATATACTTTTATATTTTTCCTCATTTCATGAATAAAGGGCCTCACTAAAAGATAGTACTGAAATCCACTTGGGCATCTAGTTAAATTGAGGTCCAATGTGGGAGGAGTGCAGTAACATCTGCAAAGCAACCAGAACTGGTATGCCTGGGCAGTGACTGCCAAGCCAGCCACAGATAATAATTTTTATGGTTATAAGTGGTGAAGAAAAGGGTAAAGAAATGATCCTATGTCACTTGTTGATAGGGGTGGAAGGTGTGTGTGTGTGTGTTGCTAAAGAAATAAGATTTCTTTAGATACAATACAAAACTCAAATGATGAAAAATTCAGTTAATTGGTAAGATAACAGTTTGAAAAAGCATTCTCCGAAGACAAGGGAAGAATTATAATTGTCCAAGGGGAAAATTCTGGAAAATATCAAAACCTTATGACAAAGGGCATTTCTGATGATGTGAAGTTGAGACAGATAACTTTAATTAACGAATGAGTGCTAGTCATGTCACCCAGTCGAAGGAACCCAATTGGTGAACAAGAGAGTGGGGGGAAAATAGACTACACCCATTGAGGGGTGTTGGCATAAGGTACAAATAAGAGAAGGAGGGAGTAAGTGAGTCGATGCTCTGCTCCCACAACTCTCCAGAGAAGGGATTCCCCAAATTTGGACATGCAAATTGCTTCCCAGAACACAGTCAGCACTGAGTTCTGATTGGATATTTGGAAAATCCTGGAACCTCAGATCATGTCGGACTCCACCCTGATGTTGGGTGAGGGTCCATAAAAGTGTTAGATTGGAGAAGAATTGTAGGTATCTGCTGAGGCAGAGACATGCTTCTATTACACCAGGGAGAGATGATTGCTTTGCCGATGCGACTTATTACCATGGAGAACTACCGACTAATGCCTTCTTCCAGACAATTAGATAAATTGAGCAGAGTGCCCTAATGAAAGGCGAAGAGTTGAAAGTCTCTATATAATGAAAGAGAGAGAGAGTAGGAGAGAGAAGAGTGCTTTGTCAGCATTCTGTAATTTGCTGCCTGAAGAAGTTTCTGACTTAAAGCTTGAAACCCCAACTCTAACTTGGAAATTAAGAACAGAATGTCAAAAAATTAGACTACGAGGGAATGGTCGTTAGTCTGCATGTTTGTAGATTCTTATACGAAAAAGTGTTCTGATATAAACCTTGTTGATCTATGCAATTTTCTTTTTTTTTTGTTTTATAATATTGTCCCACCTGAATGACACCCATCCAGTGATATCTGGTGATGATTTGGTCCTTGCCTGCATTGAAGTGACCAATTTTATGGTTAGCCACAGGATTCAATCATGGACACACCTGGTGGCCAGGAATGGGACAGCATTGTCATTAGTGCAGGGACCAGAATGTCCCACAGCTTTATATTTTTATAATAAATTAAAATTACATGGAGAGAAAAGATTTAGTATTTTTTTAAATAAAGGTCAGATTTAAGTTCAATCCTTTATGTACCAAATCCATTCATGATATAGGCAATCCTGTCTCTCCACAACTTAACATCTTTTGTTGTTCTAAGTAAATTTTGACCTTTTACAATTCCTTTATCCCTGATCTACAATCGTACAATCCATTCCCACAAACTTTCAAATTTGGTTAATCATTGAGTTCCCCTGATTTTCACTCCTACAATATGTCCTGTGAGTGTTAATTCTCTATGCCCTCTTTTTTGATACATCCCAAATTTCAGCTCTTTCTGATGGTGAGAACCACATCAATGAACACAAACACTTAAACTATTCAGTGGGTTAACCTATCTTTCCTCTGACACATTTAGGAAAGTGTCTGGTAACAGCTGTTGAATAGGGATGGGAATAAATTTTTAACTTTTTTTTTTAATCATTGTGATAAAATCATAGAGATAAAGAGGATAGAAAAAAACAAAATAAAAAATAAGACCCACCAGAGAGTATATGAAATCAAAAGTATCAATGGCTAGCTACCTGGAGGTGGAGTCCCAAAGTCATTGTAGAGAAGGTAACAGGAATCTGCTCCACTTTCCCTCCCAAGAACAATCATAGCATGACATGACACAAGAATAATAATAAAAAACTGCGGGAAGTGAGTTAGCTCCCTTAGAAAGGGCCAACAAATGTCACCTGACTACGACAAAGAAAATTTTTATGCTACCAACAGGATATTTTTTCTTGCTTGTTTTAAAGATGTTGGGCATAATTTTTTTTTTCTTAAAATTAGACTATAAGGACTAGCAACTTATAAATAAAAACATCTTGCAAATCTAATCTAGCTTTATAATTGGCTAGTCTTGCTAACAAGAGTAATACTTTCACTAAAGTTATTCTGTTCTGGAATAACCTCAGATCATTTTGTTTAGGATATGTTTAATTTTGTAATAGTTTTCAAAAACATTACAAACCTCCTGCAATGGAGCCTAAAGCAAACCGGTAAGCACTCTCTAAAATCATCATGAGAGGGTTACGTTCAGCACCTTCAGCTTGACGAATCTTTTCCTAAAATAAATATGCGTAGATTATAAAAAGAGAAGCAACAAATTCTATCATGTCTTTTTATAGAAGCTGACTAAGACTAGTAAATAGGTTATAAGCGTATATGGAAAGTGCTGATATTAATTAATATGAAATGGAGTGAGATGAAAAACACTATACAAAAAAAGGAAAATCTAAAAGTATAATTAATATCTAAGTAAATTCATAAAAGTATTTTTATTTAACTTTCTTGAAAGAGAAAAATAATAATTGAACATTCTGAAATTAGTAAATTTGATATTATGACTATAATTGTTACTCAGATATGAAATTAGATTTTTTATTTTACATAGAATTTGTGATAAGTAGTACAATGTCAAAGTTAATCTAAAAGGCTTCATTACTGATGATTTTCTGGTGTATAAAAAAATTAAAATGTAAAAAAGTGAAAAAGAAAAAGTGTAAGAAAAAAATAAAAAAAGATGTAAAAAATAATAATTTTTAAATGAAATAAAAACTGTAATATATATATATATATATATATATATTTCATTAAAAACGACAGACAAGGTACGATGGTTAAACTTTTTATTTGATTTTTCTTGTGTTTGAACAAAAGCTTTCTTTTCTGGACAAATAATGGAAGATTTAATAATAAAAAAGAAAAAGCCAACTCTTAACAATATTAACTATGAACAAGGCCACAATTTGCTAACTGTATTCGGAAATTAAAAACATCTCTACAACACACTAAAACATACTCAATTAAGCTGAAATATTGAATCATCCTTGATAATGGCTAAAGGTATAGCCGAAAGCGCTCGGAACTATAAAACATTTGGACAGTTTTTACACTCTTTGTCCAGAAAAGAAAGCTCTTGTTTGAACACAAGAAAAATTAAAAAGCTTAACCATAGTAGCTTGTCTGTTGTTTTTAATGAAACAAGCATTAAATGAAGGATTGCTGCCTACATATACAGCTATATATATATATATATATATATATATATATATATATATATAAAATAAAAACATTTAATGTTTTATTCTGAAGTTTTGGATTAATAAGTAAATTGTGACTTATCTCTGGCTCATTAAATAAATAAAATTTTGTCCTTTAAGTTTAAATTGATAGTATCCACATACTACACTGAATAAGTCTAATGATTGGTTGGGTGATTTTGTTTAGCAGCTTATCAACTTCATTGGGTTATTTAATGCTGAAATTTAAATATTTTGCTTGCAATTTTTTTTTTTTTTTTTTGAGATAATAATAGTTTTAGTGATAGAAGTCTTACTCCCATAGCTGGGGACAGAACTGGTGGATTCATAACTTTCCAAAGGTATTTGCATGTAAGTGAAATAACAAACCCAACTGAAATTGGAACTTGGTACTCCAATTAACAATTCCAAGACATTATCCATTACACCACCTGCACATCCAAGACTACAGCATTTAGTATTCCCAAACAGTCACCCATCTAGGTACTGACTAGGCTTGACATTGCTTAACTTTGGTGATTGTATGGGACCAGTGTTTCAATGTGGTGTGGCTGTAAGCAAATAAGTCTAATGGATATTATAAAGTAGATATAAATTACATTAAAAGATATAAATTAGTTTAAAAAAAAAAAAAAAAAAAAATGTAACTGATAATGTTTTAATTTGTCCATGAGCTGAAATGTATGTAGTATCTATTCTCATAGGGGATCTTACTGCTACACAATTGTAAAAGTGTCTAAAATATACAACATAATAAAGAGCATTTTGAAGTATGAGTTTGCTATAGTAACTTCTTATACTACACAAAAAATTAGAGAGAACATAACTTTGCTATTTTAGTGCAGAATTTTATAATTTATGTACTCCACTAAATTTATAAGAATGATGTTTATGCAGCTTCTTAATCTTTTAGTTTTGAAAATATGAATAAAAAAAAAAAAAAGATATCAAAAAAATTTTGTTAGTTAATAAAATACTTTTTCCAATTGCTTTTTATCTATTATAAACCCAGGAAATTCCGAAAAATATTTTAGTGAACGAAGATTAAGACTCTTGGATATGTCTACAGCAAATTGGAAATAAATTCAAGAAGTTATTTTGATTATTTTTGTTAAAGTAGGGTAGCGTTCACTTGAAATATTATACTCTTAATAAAAAAAAAAAAAAATCTCGCAAAAAGAATTATGCCAAGATTTTTAATATTTTACTTTTATTTAAACACCAATCAAAAATAACTTACCTCTGCAATTTGCATTTGGATTGAATACGGGGTTTCCCGACCTTCCATTGGAGAAACGCATTCCAAATCTTCATACCTTATACGACTAAAAAAAAAAAAAAAAAAAAAAAAAAAACATTTTTGTAAATCTAGTCACATAAAAAAATGTGTAAGTTACAATGAATAAAATGGTCTTATGAATAAATTGTTTGCAGCCAATATCAGCTCTGTATTCATAAAATTTGGTTCATTATTGTGACAAAAACAAAAAAAAAATAAGTTAACTTAGAACAACTAATATTAAGTGGAATAGTTAACCATTTTGGTATGGTAATTCTATCTTAGGTAAAGATCAATCTACTTGTTCTCATATTTAAGATATATTTAAATATAAAAGTGTAACTGATGGCTGGTATTCAAGTAATGTTGCATATAAATATTCCTTCTGGTTGGAATTGATCAGATTATGTTTTGGTTATTACAATTCACTTTCTACTACTAAAATATTTAACATTTTTAACAGTATTCCAAGTTTTGTGCAGATGCTAGAATCAAATGATATACTAGAGAGTGAAGAAAAAAAAAACTGTAACTAGAGTATCAACCATTATTAACATTGATAGAGGATGATTCTCTGCTAGATTTTTTTTAATAATTAATAACAAAATACAGTCACCAAATAACTTGTAAATAAAAATATACAAAGAAGAACATATGAAAGAAAATTAGGTACTTATCAACAGCTATATTTTTTGTTTTTATTGAAGGAGTAGTTTATTTAAAAAAAAAAAAAAAAAAAAAGTTAAAAAATATTAATGACTCAAAAAATACCAATAAATGAACATTTTAAAATAAGATATTCATCCTCCAAAAAAAAAAAAAAAAAAATTTTAGTTAAAAAGAAAAAAAGCTGTCATTAATAGGAAAGTACTAAAAATTATGTATGAAATGATGCCTAACAAAATCAGAAATTAAATACTAATTTTGAAGATAAATATTGATTTAGAAGTTTGATAATGAATAATGATAATCTAAAAGAATGAAAAGTAGTTGGATTATCTTCGAGAAAAAAATAAAACAGCAAAAATTCAAAGAAACAATTTTTCATTAAGTGATTTGATAATCTAATCTTAATTGCTTTCATTTTTACTGCATACACAAGACATTTAAAGTTATTACAATTCATATTGATATATTTGTAATCTTAAAATAATTTACAAAGCACAAAACTTTATCCTGGTGTTCTCTGAAGTTCTGAGATTAAATATTTTTATTATATCATATTTTTCAAAAAGTGTTGATTTCATCTTTGTTGTTTTCAATACAACTTAATGCATTCTTCAGATGGATGTTATATCTGTTGAGACAAGTTTGGTTTGAAACTATTATTTACCTTCTAAAGAAGAGTCAATGACAAGGTTCACTTTGACAGAATATAGAATAAAATTTAAAACTATTCAACCATTAATCTTTTGTGTTATTACTGCATGCTCATAATTATTTGTTAGATTTCAAAACAATATTGGATATAATATATAACTATTCAAAAGGAACAAGCAACTCACAAAATCTTTTCTTTTTCAAGGAGGCATTTTTAATATTAATTCAGTGTGTATTTAATTTTCTTTTACCATATCCCAAGGCTAATTTTAACTAAATATTGTGTATTTTATACACTCCATATTTTGGGCATGAAGTGGTTTTTAAAACTTAGATTACTTTTAAAAAGAAAAAAAAAGTATTATTTCAAATTAGAAACTTGTATATAATGACTTCTTATTGCTGACAGAATCATAAGCAATTCTTTGCTTACTAGTAAAAAGTAAATATTATTTAAATTTGTCAGTTCTCTTGCCAGTTGGCAAGATTTTACTTTCTCAGTATGTATTTCTTTATGTAATTTGTTAAATGACTTTTGCTTTCTGATAGAAAGCAAGAATAAAAATGGGTTTCAAAATGACAAAATAAATATTAGTAATCCATCCACCTTTATACAGATTCTAAAATAAGGAGAGGCATAAGAGCAAATAAAATAAATTGAAATTAGTGTATGTTAATATATAAATATAAAATTTTCATTGGGGGGGTGGAAAGAAAATTTCATTAATATTACTATTTTCCTTGTTGCATTTTTTTCTATCCAAGACCAAGTTTATTCTTGAAGAAAAAAAAAAAAAAGAAAAAGAGAGAGAGAGAGAGAAGCTACAGTTGTTTAAATTTGTCAGTATTCAATGTAGCAGTATAAAATTAGTTGTAAACATTTTATGCAAAAAAAAAAAACCTCAAAAGGTAGTTTAAAATATATCATTGCAAAAATGAATTTATATTTATTTAGATTCATTGCAACAAAATCAAAGTTAAAAAAAAAAAAAAAAATTCATTCTGGTGGATGAACTCACCTTTAGATATATGCAATATAAATGAAATTAGAATGATCACCTGAAGGTTATTAGCCTGCGTTATTTTTAGGTACTTGTAACATAAAAATAAAATATATTTTTTTTTGGAATGTGACTAAGTTTATCTAATGAAAATTAAAACAACCAAAATTAATTTTAAAATCAAAATTTAAAGTAATTTTTTATTCAATTGATTCACCAAAAACTGGATAATTTTAATAAATAGGAAATTTTCAATGATAAAAGCAAATTAAAATTTTACTTTTCCAGGTTACCTTGCACTTTTGTTAAACAGACTAAATTTCATCTATATAGAATTCACTTGTACAGAGTTGAATGCTATTAACTTATGTTATTTTCATTATTATTAACTTTTTACTAGTATTTCTACCAACTTTTCATTGCTTTTTACCACAACTCCCATATCCTCATTCTGTGAACATTAGTAAGCAATGTTGACTAAAAATAAAACAAACTTGCATCCTTTTATTCTCAAGAGCCTGCTTTTTCAGGTCAGATGCCTTACCAATTTGGCTACAAAGAACAACCAGTTCCAGGAATTTAAAATAAGATATTATAGCCATTATTCTTTACTTTCACAAAATAATTGATATGTAGTCTTCTTTGTTTACATTCACTAGTAATATTAATTGTTATAGTGACAACAAAGAATATTATGGTGCACAAAGCATTTGGGAGAAAATAAAGATTGATTTAGTTAATGGCATATCAACTCCTTATGGGTAATTTAATGCCGAAATGTAAATTGAAATATTTTAAAGAGCATTTTATGGCTTCAACTAAATATATTTTGAACACAATTGGATGCTTTCAACTACAGATAAAATGTATTGTTAGTAATTCTACTATAAAATGTACTGCTGGTCATTTTACTATAAATATATATTGTTGGTCATTTGTTTTATATAAAAATGTATTTTTATACTTTCGTAGTATTTTATTTTTGTAGTTCACTATTTGCCCATAGCTAGGACCCTAACAGGTGCTACAGGGTGGTCTAAGGAAAAACAGCAATTAAAAGGTGGTTCAATGCTCCTCAAATCTTCTAATCTCCCAATCAGTGGTCTTGCTGCCAGATGTAGAGAGAATAAAGAAACAAGGATAGATTTGACTTACAATCTTACATTTTCATAGGGATGCAAAATTGACACGAATTAAGTAATTTTAATCTTTCTTTCCCAAGAGATATTTTGAAGTGTGGTTTAATCAGAAATATAAGCATATTATATCTGTCAATAAATTTGATATGTTCTAATGTGTTGAAACATGAATGAGTAAAAATCGGCATGAACTTTCCAGACAATGCAATATGTTTCATTTAATGTAAAATTATTTAAAGTTCACTATTAAAAAAAAAAAAAAAAAAAAAAAAAAAAGTATGTTTTCTTAATCATGAACTATCAATTTTTTTTTTTACTATGTTTAACAAATATTTACTTTTATATTAAATAACATAATTATGTAAGATTTTAAAAGAATTTAAGAGTAAAAAAATTTTTTTCTATGAATCCAATTTTTTCCTAACTAAATCTGAAGGAAAGAACTTTATTTGGCTCAAATTTCTTAAACTAATGTTTACAGCCGTTTCACAGTTAATGTCCCACTGAATTAGCCCATTAAATAATTTAATAAAAAAGAAATCTTCTGGTTCCAAAGTCAACTTCGACTTTCAAGAATTTAAATGCGATGTCAATTATTATCTTCAGTTTTCTTATTTTTTTTTTTTATTGTCTTCCATCCTTAATAGTAGTTTTTCTTATATTCTCTAACACTCAGTAACCTCTTGCATCAAAGTGGCTTTATTAAATGATTAAAAAAGAAAAAAAAAACAGTTGTTTTATAACCGACAGCATTCACATAACTGAATGGTGATTCCTATATAAACATGATCTGAAGAATTAAATTCTCTATATAATAAAAGACACAAACAAAATAACAAACCACACAAATGCTTCAAGTTGAAAGGCTTCAAATAAAACTCAAATCAAATTCCAATTTTCTACATTTATATCAAACTGCAAATTTTTCAAAAACCTGGCATATACATGTTATATGATTAATTTAGCAGCAGGAATTCCTTAAAGGAAAAATATACAATATCACTAATGATATCATTAACACGAAGTAAAAAAAAAAAAAAAGACAATTGTTTTACTTATTTACTTTTTATTTCACACCTGCATCTCTGACACTATTAAAATAGCAAACACTAAAACGATGCTAATATTCAAATGACATTCTTTCACAAGAAGAAAAGTAGAGCTGAAAGCAAAGCAGGTGTGACAAACATGTAAGTTAACAAAAGGTTGGTTAGAAAAAAAAAAATAAGGACAAAAAGGGTAAATTCACAGATGACTAAATATGGGTTATAAAGATACAAATAGTATCATCTTTTATTACCTTACCTCATATTGTAAATATACCTTATTTAAAATTTTCACTGCCTTTTGAGATTATTAAAAATAAACAATTAGAAAAATGGAGAAAATTATTCAAAGTTCATATATATATATATATATATATATATATATATATATATATATATATATATATATATATATATTATATATACACACACACACACACACACACTCCACCCCTACAAATTAAATAAGAAAGCAATAGCTAAGGTTTAAAATGCATTTTAAAAATTCAAAACTCTTTTTTAAATCTTATATTTTAGTTT